AGTCGTGTCCCCCCACGTCTGCCCTTTGGTACTAATGCAACGCGTTAGTGCCTGCAAAAGGAGCGTTTCGGACACTCGAAATAACAACCCCGAACTGCAGAATCTGGAGACGTTCGTCATACTTATTCATAACTAGGGGCAGCGGTACGGTTATGGTTATTTAATTTAAATTTGCAATTAAAACATTTTAAGGTCTCACATGATTTAATATGGATAAGAAGATGCATTGATATCTGAGTGGCCTTACAGTGCCCCTCTGCAAAGTCTGCCTGAGAAGGCCATGCTTTGAGAAATTGGTTTACAGTGAATTAGCAATACTTCTGCTCTCTAGCTCTCTCCAAGATTGACTTGACCTTTGAAGTCATATGCTGGGATTACTTTTTTTTTTCTGATGATTCTGCAGCATGCAAATAATAGCTTTCATCTGAAAGTTTTATGACCACACATCTCCACAAAAATTCTTCTTGTATGCAAGCTACAGTTCTTTTGTTTTCAAACTTTTTGGCACAGTTGTTTTAGAATATTTGTACCTTTCTGGCATCATGACTCAAACTATATGCCGGTGTCTCTCTCTGCATTCAAAAAAAACAAGCAAAAGCTATTCTGGCTACAAGATCTGCTGCTTTGCTTTAACTGTGCTTCACAGAGGCTGACAGAATTTCAGTTTAGGAAAGACCCTTTTTGATTTCCTGTGATACTTGACTGAAGGAAAAGAGAAATAGCTTCACCCATTGCATATGTGGCAAAATCTTTTTATATTTATGCATTTATGTTTATGAGTATTGATACTATGCACAGGCTGCATTTTCTGGTTAACTTTTTTTGCTTCGAGGTAAATGGGCTAAGATATCAACAATTCACTGCAAAAGATGATGTACGTTGCTGTGTGTCTCACGTTGTCTGATTTGTTTGTATTCGTCTTTGTACAAAATTCTGATTTGGAAAGCTGAATTTGGTGTTAGCTGGTTTGCAATACTGCTGGCAAAAATACGTGTCATTAAAACCTTTGAATTGGGAGTTTTGTGTAATATTTCTTTCTACTTACAATGAGCTTTTTCAGACTGGACTATTTGCTCCTGTCCTTGCTATCATGCCTAATAAAGGCATGCTTATCATGCCTAATATTAGGCTATCATGCCTAATAAAGTGGGGTTTCTGCCACAGATGAGTACCACTCAATAAGTAGATAAACATAGAAGGTTTCATCCTGTCTGGTAAAGGGCAGGAAAACAGAATCTCTTTCCTTGGAGATGAACGAGCAGCTCCTGTCAGTGCCTCTGTTCGTTTACCAAATTGAAATGATTCCATCCCTTTCAGGAGTCGAGCCCTGGGGTCATGCCGGGTTCTCCGCAGTCGCCGCCGGCAGACTCTGACTCCCTGGACAAACCCAAGCTGAAAGCCGGAGGCTCAGTAGAGAGCCTGAGGAGTTCCTTAAGCGGTCAGAGCTCAATGAGTAAGTTCAGTTGTAATTGCGTTGCTCTGTTTCTGTGGCTTTGGAGAGAGAGATCTCCACAGTAAGCAGAATCAGAGAAAGTCAAAGCAGAAGCAGTGGTTAAAAAGTAGAAAGCCTGATGGGTTAGTCATTAAGGGTTTACAAAGAACCATAAGCTCTTTGGTGCAGAGATGATCTATTTTGCTTTGTGTTTATACAGAGCCCTGAAAAAGTGAAATCTGCTTTCTGGCTGACTCTGCTGGGTCCTGCTATTTTAATATCAATGATTGGAGTGAGAATTACAGTCCCTGGCCAGTAGTAAACAGGCTCATCTTTACATGAGATTTCTCCTGGACACTCCTGATGGGCTTCCCACCCTTCCCTCCAGTGAGACATTGATGTCCTCTCAATAACTAGTTACAGGAGTATTATTTAAAACCTCTCTGGTTAACATAGTCTCTACACAAAACAGAGCTTAAGTGGGACACGGATGGTGTGAACTTGCTTCACTATGAACTGACCTATATTACTGACCAATAGAAACCAAGAACATATTGGGGAAAAAAAAATGAAGAGAAAGCTCCATTGTTAAATAACTAAAAGTGTGTTCTGGAAATCATCTGGGGTTTATGTGGTTGTTGGGGGTTTTTTAAATATCAATACAAAGTGTTGCCATAAAACCAAATTTCTGGAAATGAGGAGGATTCTGGAACCCTCATGCAGGATTCAGAGCTTATTTTTCAGGGTAAAACTTCCCAGAAAGATGACACCTCCTGTGATGTACCATAGATGAGACACTAGTTAAAAAGCTGCTCAGTTAAATTTTGAGGAGCTGAATTTGGGAAAACAGGGGTGCAAAGTAGATTAACCCTCCCATCACTTGTGTATGTAAGAAATAGCAGCATTTAAGGACTTTTAACCTTTTTGTAGAAAGAAGATCCATTTTCTGTCTTGCCTCTCTTTCTGACCCTTCTTCACGAAGAGATTCTTTTTTGTGGACTGGTACTATGTCTCTCACACAGGTGGTCAGACGGTGAGCACAACAGATTCCTCAACCAGCAACAGGGAGAGCGTGAAATCAGAAGATGGTGATGATGAAGAGCCTCCTTACAGAGGACCATTTTGTGGGAGAGCCAGGGTTCACACTGATTTTACCCCAAGTCCTTATGATACAGACTCTCTGAAGCTCAAGGTACCAGCTATATTTGGTTTTAAGGGGTCAAACATTTATTTTGGCAAAATTCTTAACTAAGAACTCTTTGCAAGAACTATACAATTCTTAGTCTTTTAATCAGTTTACACGTGTTTTTTGAAGCCCTTTAACCTGTCTTATTCTGATACATTTAAGATTTGCTTGAATTATAGCAAAATGTTACAGAATATAAGTAAGCATTAGTATTTCTGTATGTGCAGGGAAAGACACTTGGGTCTTTAGTTTCTGGAAAAATAAAAAGGTGCCACAAATTCATTTCCATTTTGCAAGAACTTTGTTTGAAAGATTGGAAAAATACTTTGTCTGCCATAATGAATCAATCCATCAAGGGAAAAATTTTCAAAATCCATGGAAAAAATGTAGATGTGCCTACACATAGGGTCTCTTAAAGGCATTTCAGTTAATGAAATTCAGTAATACTGAATTACTTTACTGACTGTGAGTTGTCACCTCCCGTTAATTTTCCTGGATATCAGCTTTTATTACTTTTAGTTGTGCTATATTTGATTCAAAGTATCTGACTCCTTACATTCATTACTTGAAATTCCAAGGGCAGCTAATTCCTATTAAAGCAGATATAGGTAAGGTAATCTCTTTAAGGATACAGCAACAGTTGTGCGTCCACTTCTTTCTTATGGTCAGGAGCATATTAGGAAAAGCAACAGTGTTGCACGGTTCCTTCTGCATATGTCTCCTTTCCTCAGGAGATCTGATGTGAGATTGTGCCCATACACACTGAGCATGTTCTTATTTGCACCAGTTTCAGATAGTTGCACAGCTTAGAGGTAACTGTACAAAACAGCAGTGATGCACTACTGGAGTGTAAGCAGGGTTGTGAATCTGGACAGTTGGGGTCCGTTCCAGGTTCTTTTGTTGACTTGCTTTGTGGTCTTAGGCGTGCCACTTAATTCCCTTTTCTTCCATTTGTAAAACAAATATAATCAGACATTTTTGCAAGAGCAGTCATTAACTAAAGTGTGTTGTCCATTCTGTGTACGTGAAAATTGAAGAGAAAGAGAGTGTGTTTGCTTGAATGTCCATCAGAAGGCATGCCTAAATGGTTTTCTTCCTTCTTTGGTCTGCAGAAAGGTGACATTATTGATATAATCAGCAAACCCCCCATGGGCACTTGGATGGGCCTGTTGAACAACAAAGTTGGCACTTTCAAATTTATCTATGTGGACGTGCTAAATGAAGAGGAAGAGAAGCCGAAGCGACCCACCAGGAGACGCCGGAAAAGCAGACCACCCCAGCCCAAGTCAGTTGAGGATCTCTTGGATCGCATCAACTTAAAGGTCCATATTCTCTCCTTCTGTTTACCCTTCAGTTTTGCTTGTGGAAAGGGGACTACACCTTTGGAGTTGTTAGTTTTGAAAGCTGGACACCAGATTCATAATCCTAAGGATCATGGCCCCACTTAGCAGAATCGGGTCTTAGCTGCAGAGTGAAAATAGCTGAGGCCAGGCAGAACTGCCTGTCAGGCTTGATGAAGTGCTGCAGGCTGCAAGTCTCACACACTCGGAGACCGTAAATCGTTGCATAGTGTGGCTACTAGCTAACACACTTCAAAAGCAAGCAAAAAGTGTGAAATAACAATAGTTACCTTGTCTTTAAAGAGGAAGGTTTTTTCCACGTTTCTGTTCAGAAGAGCTAGGGATAAACTGGTGTAGCTGTAATTCACCATTTTTGCTTCTCCCTTTGTACAGAGCTGTGCCATATTGTGTGTCCGGGTAGCGTGCTACCTAGGCCATTTAATACAGTGCATTCCAATTACAAAAATATGTGTAACATTCTAGTTCTGGCACAGCTACCTTCCTGAACTCTGAGCAATGTTTATACAAGCTGTAATCCTATGATTTTGCTGTTAAACAGTGGTTTGCTTTTGCTAAATTTTTGCTGGTTGTGAAAGTCTCTTCTAGTATCTTTATTGACAAAATAAATTGAATAAATATGTTGTCTTACAGCTCTTTTTTTTTCTTCCCCCTTTTATGCAGGAACACATGCCCACTTTTTTGTTCAATGGTTATGAAGATCTGGATACCTTTAAGCTTTTAGAAGAGGAGGATTTGGATGAACTGAACATCCGAGATCCTGAGCACAGAGCTGTTCTCCTCACAGCAGTGGAACTTCTACAGGAGTATGATAGTACGTGGGATGTTTGAGGTTTTCAGTTTTACTAGAGCTCTGCCAAGAATCTTGTGAACCCCTTAAAGCAGAAAACTGGTTCCAGGATTTTGATCTTTTTTTTTTTTTCCCTAATGTAATTATTTCCAGGGTAATCCTGCATAACTACATGTAGATTTTTGAGGAGTGACTTAAGACTTGCATTTGTTCTGCCAGAATTCTTTTGTTCATGTAAGCCCTGCTACCCAACTTATTCAAGTGATGTCAAATGTACAACACATACCCTTTAGAATACTGATGTTGAGGAATAAATCCTGAGATAACCTACTCAAGAAGCTGAGGCATGGAGAATAGGAAAGAAGAAACTTCTAGACTAGAGGGAAGAGATAGAGGTTATCAAGGGTAAGAAAAAGATCAAAGCCCAGAGGGCTGTGGAAAAGGGTAATGTGAATTAAACTTTCTCTTATTTTACCTGCACACGCATATGATTCTTGGACTGCGACTTGCAGGATTGTACAGGTTAGCTTCAGGTTGTACACATGACAGCACAGCAATTTTCAAAGGGAGAAAATATGTCAGTCAAGTGCAAAGAGTGAAAGACCGTGACCCAACTGTCTCAGGTGCAGCAGTGCAATTCTGGCCGTTGTACAGATGGCCTCGGGCAAGTGGTTGCAAAGATGAGGGGAGGCAGAGTAAGTCATGGCAGTCAAATTCGATGGTGTCTTTACTGCACAGGAGGAAGCGAGGCTGTACCATCCATGCAGTAGTCATGGTAGAGTAGAATCATTTGAAAAGCAAGTGTAGCTTGGGAAAGGAATTCAGATGCGCTCAAGACCTAGTTGCAGCAACCTAAGACAGCACTGAATTTCCCCTTGGTCCCTAAGTGTCAGCAGAAGTTTAGTATCCCACCGAGCAGAATCAGTGGAATGGGATTATGTGAAGGCTTTCTCAGCTGCTTCTGTGCAAAATCCTATATTTTAGCTTAAACTGCCATAGCAGCAATTTAAACAGCTGCTTATTAAGTGGGCAATGCTTGTGTTAGAGATGTGTGGTTGGTATCTCTAGACCTTGTTGTGTGGCCTGACTTTCACTGACGTGTAGCTTGCTTGTTCATTTCATTTCCAGAAGAGGCATCCACACTTTCTGCACCCTCCTCTATCCCCCAATAAAACTGCAGTTGCAGAATTAGATTCATTTATTTCAGAGTAGCTTTTCATCTCCTAATAGGAGCTTCTCTTTGTTATTTACAGACCTATTTAAAATGCGCACTTCCCTGAAGTAATAATTTTTTTAGGGCCCTTCAATTTTGGTTTGAAAACTTGAAGAACTATGTGGCGTGGTGGTTGGAAAGTATAAATTCCAGCTCCAAGTCAGAGTGTTGAGGAGAAAGAGGAGTGGGGACCAGACAACTGGAACCTGGGAGGGGCAGCAGCACTTAGTTCCACCCCATAATTACCTTTTATGTGCTGAGAATAGGAATCGGAATAGCCATTTCTGACATTTTATTGCAGGGGAAAAAAAAGAGCATAAACTATATCCTTGCGTCATGAAGTTGGTTTTCTGTATCTTCAGCTCCAGATTTAGTTTCTTTACAAAATATGATGTCTGACCAAACATTCTGGGTAAATTCCTGGAATCCAGCCTGTGCAGCCTGGATGGACCACACTTGAGTGTTGGCTCTTTGCACAGACCAAGGAAGGAAGGAATTTTTATGACTAGTCACTCCCCTGTCCCTTCCCCCTCCGTTAGGGGACAATATCTAACTTTGCCAGACCCCTTCCTGATCCTTCCTCTTGGTCCCTTCTAGAAAGTAGGTCATGGTTCGGATTTTACTCTTTTTTACTTGATTTGGTTCTTTTCAGTGCTTTTTTGTTTCTGTTTTTGGTGTTGGGGTTTTTTTTTAAGTCTTAGAAAGAACTTTGAGACCATCATTTTGCATAAATCTCCATGGTTGTAAGTTGCAGGACTTGGCCCCAAGGCAGTTGAGGCACGTACACAGTCCATTCTTTTTTCATTATATACCATACTGCTCCCTCACACTCCTGCTGAGGCTGTTGCTTAATCCTTTACCAAACAGAATGAGTGTTTCCAGCATTTGTGATGGCTCTTGCTAATGGTCACTCTTTCTAAAACAGTTATCTGATACAATTAATACAACAAGGAAGATAATGGTGTTGGAAGGTTAAGTTCAGCTGGATTTTCTGTTTACCTGTTTTTCACTGTATTCTTGCATCCTCTAGGTAACAGCGACCAGTCAGGATCTCAGGAGAAACTTCTCATTGAAGGCCAAGGCCTAACTGGATGCTCTCCTCGGGATTCTGGCTGCTATGAAAGCAGTGAAAACCTGGAGAATGGTAATGGTGACAGCAATGAGCCTTACAATCCCTGCAGCCTTTTTTCAGTAGATGACTTCATATACTTTCTACTCCTGTTCCTAGCTAACACAAGCTACTTCATACTTACTCCTTTGCTCTTTTTTCTTTCCCTCTTGGCTTGAGCCATTGGTTTTCATTGCTACTGTTTCTAATTTATTTATTTGCATTGGTAGGAAACAGATCACATTTCACAAACCTTCTTTCTTTTGTGATCTTAAAGGCAACAGGCACTCTCACTGCTGTTCCCTGCCTTCTCCACTCCCTGTCGTATTCTCATGCAACTGCGCCTCATGAGGCTTGCACTACTGACAGTCTGACAGCCCATGTCTAAGGGACCACTGGCAATGGAGAAGTCGCTGAACGCCATTGAGATTAGGAGTATTTCTTGTAAACCCATACAAAAACTGTTTAGAAAAAATGTTCTCTGTTTTAGGCCGTATTATTGTGTTTGCTTAGGTTGCATGTTGCATTCTGCTCTGATTGGAAGCCAACTGCAGAGATACAGGACTTTTTAGTGTATGAACACTAGCAAGTTTAATTAATTGAGAAGTTGGCAAGGAAATAAACTATGGGGAAAAAATGCTTATGATATCAATTCCCATTACCTTGTCTTGCATCAGTGAAAGGTGATGCACTGAAAAATTACCAAGACAGATGATAATAGAGATTACTCTCTCTGTTCTGAATAAATCAGGTGGTTGTGCTGACTGAGCGTGCTTTACTTGAGAGGTGGTGTAAACTTGTCATGAGGGATGAAATACTAAAAATGGATAAAATTGGTTTGATTTTGGACTTACCACCCCAAGCATTTGAGCCCCGGCCTGGCCTCAGACTGCCTGGTTTCATCGCTAGCATCCAGTATAAACAGGAAACCAAGAACAGACCTAATATACTGTATGGCCCTTGTAGTGGCTGTTTTTCCAATTTAAAATATGAGCTAAAGATCTATCTCTTAGTATGTGCATTTTCTGTCAGTCTGCCACTCAGAAATAACCATTTATTGAAGAAAATTGCAATTTGCTTTGAAGCTGAAGGCCTGAAATCAGCAATATACTAAATTCCTGAAAGCAGAGAGAATTTTTTTTCTTGAATATGAATCCCCATACAGTAGGCATGCTGGAATATAATCATAGCTAAATATATGGCATATGTGACAATTTTCTTTGCTTTTTATCTCTAAGTGCCATCATAATGATAGCTGTAGCACTGAAGTTAAATTGCTGCCTGTACATTTTCCTTATTTTAACAATATAATAAAACCTTTAGAAAGCAATTGTCATTGCCTGTCTGCTTAGATACTTACTATTACATTTAAACTAATATTTCTATCTGAGTTTTGCAGAATGTGAAATACCACTGATGATTTTTATATTGCTTTTCATTTATGGCTTGCTGCATTTCTGCGTCATTTTTGCTCACGAATGCATTTAGTGCTTGCTTTGAAAACCGTTATGAAAAGAACATTTGGCATGGGATTCATTCAGAGATTTTGTCAAGGCTGGTTAATCTGAAATGTGCTCCACCTTCTTTGCAAAGTTCATGGAACATAGTTGTTTATATGCATATTTTTTCAAAATATATTGGATTTACATCTGTGAAAATAAGGATGATCATTTGTCTAGTATAAACATTGCAATGTGCAGATTGGCAATAATAAACTGCTCTTCATAAAGGGGAAATGCATTCCAAGAAGAAATTGGTCTTCAGATTTTCTGGGCAATGGTTATATATAGTATTTTGATGACCAGTATAGTGTCCTGTTTTGGGCTGATATTGGGCTTTTTGGCATCAGTTCAAGATTTCAGAGCTGCTCTTACATTTTGGCTAGAAAATGCTTTGCCGTGTACTATGGCAGTGATACAGATGTATCTTTTATAGGTACTTCTCTGAGTCCTACTGCGGAAATATTTGGGTATTCTGATAGGCATCCACAGTGTACTTAACAACAGCATTCTGATTTTATTCCAGTTTACAGAGAACAAGGAACATACAGTTTGTGACTTACTCAGTGTTAGACAGGAAGAACATAAGAGCAGAAAGCAACCATCCATGATCCATTAGTTCACATAGTCCAGTCCTTGGTTTGAAACAAGGCAGAGCGAGCAAGCTCTCCTTTAGACTTCTGACAACGGTGCGGCTATTGAGCTCGTTTTGTGAGCTCTGTCTGAGACACATTTGGAAACCATATCGGAAATCCAGTTCTCACAGGACTGGCCAAAAGCAGATAGCTAGAGAACAGTATAGGAACAGAGTAAGCATATTGGATGCTTCCCAGGGTACTCTTGGGGAATGAGTGACTTAAGGACTTAAAAATTGGGTACTGTTTCCTGGCACTTGTCCATTTTCCTGAAACTGTTTCTCTTGATGAACATCCCTGGTCTTCCTTAGAACCTCCATACCTAGCAGTGTCTATGTATAGACCTCTGTCATTCTCCTTCCCAAATCATCTCTTTCTAGTCTGGGAAGGCCTGATAATTATTCCTTATAGGTCCTTCATGTCTCTGATCACGCCTGGCTTCTTTGAACCTTTTCTTCTTGTGCTGCATAGTTTTTCGAAGGAGAGAAGGGATGTGAAGAGATCAGAATTGCACATGCAATGCGCAAAGCTGAAGAGGCAGAGAAACCGTGGCTGTATCAGGTGGGATAAGGGTGTTCTCTGACTTGTTCAGAAACTGAAGCTGAGATTTCCGTAGTGCCAAGTGGACATCCTAACCACTTAAGCGTTCAGTGCTATTTAGTCAGAAAAGGAAGCAACAGAACAGATGGCCTCATTGCCTAACGTAATGTGCATTTCTGCTGGTTTGTAATCGGTAAAAAAAGCAATGAGGCTAGGATTGTCTACCCTGTCATCATCTTTGTCGTGTCAACAGAGCTGTTTGAAATGCACGCAAAATATAGCCACTGAAAGCAATGCCAAAATGAAGTTAAAATCTGGGATCTGGACGGGCCACTGAATGCATTCTGTCTCTGGATTAGAGTACTTAAATTTCTGAAGGTGATCTTCCATACAGAAAAAAGTGCTGAGAGAAACACTGAAAAATTGTTGCTGTAGCTCTGGTACTTCTGGAAATATACCCCAAGATTATCTCCTTTCTTCTGAGGCAGATGATGACAGGGAATTGAAAAGTTCCTTCTCTGTATTCTAATAACAAGAAATATCATGAGTGGAAAATGCATTGTCTAACAAAAACCGCACCATGACATTAAACAAAAGAGTTGAAGCCTGTAGCTTGAAATGAATCTTGAAACAGTATAAATTTTCCATTCGTTTTGTGGAAGGGCCACCTTTGTGATCTTAGTTTTTACCCAGACACCTGTGCCTTTCTGCACACATTTAAATCAGAGATGCTACTGTGGTTGACAGCACCATGAAAGGCATTAAACTGCTTACCTGTACCGAGGAATCATAAGTATGAATTATTATAAAAAATGCTAACATTAGAAATGTGTTTTAAACCTTACTAGCTATACACTTTAACCCTTGTAGGTTTTTTCATTATTTTTTTTTTCCGAGATAGGGAGGGAATGTTACATTTGTGGACATTGTTCATATAGCAGTCTGCTTTATGAAAACAACTTAAAAACATATTTAAAAGTCTTTTTTCAGGAAATATTATCTTCCTCTCTTAGTGTCTCAGAAGCGTAATGAAATTACGCATGGCAGTCAGGGGGAGGGAAGGAATAGCTAGAAAAAGAGAGATCGCAGCTGCCCTCCTACTATTGCTCTTATATCTACGTAAGAGCAATTACATTCTGAACCCCTGTCCTTTGTACAGAACAGTAACATCGAACCCAGCACTTTTTTTTTAAACCATTTTGAAGCAGAGAGCTTAAAGATTGCATGTTTGGTTATATATTTTATAGACAAAATCTTTTGAATTCTCTCCTCTTCACATTTGTATTTTTATGCAAAACAGGGCTGCAATGAACTAAAGTTTTGATTTGACTCTCCAAAAAATTTTCTTATTTTGCTCATTTTTTTCTTCTTCCTTTTCCTATTCCCCATTTCTTCTTTTTCCCATTCCCAGGCTACTGGCTTTACACAGACATATCCCATTTCTAAAAAATGAAATATTGTTTACTAGATACCCTTATGGCCTCAGTAAGAGCTTATACTGCACAGTAGTAGCATTTCTCACAACTTTTCTTTCAGTGTTGAGGTTCCTGAGTGTGCCTTCCTAAAACCAGTATAACCCCTGATCAATATTTCAGATTGAAAAGAAGGCACATGGATTTTGTGATGTGAGCTGTGACAGCAAGCCCCAGACAATATGGTGAATTACTGCACAAGTCAGACACGTACTCGCAAATATGAATAATGAAAAGAGAACGTTCCTTTCCATACTCATTACATATTGACATTAGTGCCTGAAGGCACTAAAAAATGAATGTAACTTTTCTTACACATGTCTTTTTAATGTGTTTGTAAGTTATTTTCAGAAGGCGGTGGCCTAGCTCCATGGAAAGGTGCAGGCAGAGAAGTCTCTCTGCTGCTTCTCTGAGCTATCTGAACTCAAGGTAGAAGCAAGGGAGCCAATTTAACGTGTGATGTGTTTTGTTAGCATTTTGGGGAAATGGCAATATTTAGCTTGAGTCGAACTGTGAACCGTACAGCTTCTGATAAAGGAGTTCCTGTATGCTTGCATTTATCCTTGTAGGCACACCTTGGATTTAGATAGAATAACCTTGCTGGCATACCAGTAAACACAACCAACTTTTTTTGAGCAGAATGTTTTCCTTATTTCTCTTTAAATGTAACCTCCATTTTCTTTGCTAGTTTTCTGGATACTTTGCTTTTTAAACTCCTTGAGCAGAGAAGGAGGCAAAGAGAAAGAGAGAAAGACAGCTAATTCTCTTTTAGGTTAAACAAGTTCTTTCATTCATATTCAAAGCGAGCAGTGTGTATTATTCAAAAGCCCAGCATTGAGCTTCTTTCAGGATAAAGTTTTGAAGGCAGGCTGTATGAGAAGAAAGCATCCATTTCTCAGAAGTACACCAGATTCACTTAGTTCCAATGAAGTTAGCAAAACTTCTCAGAACTCTAAAAGTAACTGGTACTTTAATTAGCAGCTATTGATTGCTTATTATTACAGACTTTTGATACCATTTAGCCTAATCTGTTAATCTGTTGTTTGGTTTGGTTTTTTCTCTGTGAGAAAAAGAAGTTTCAAGCTCTGTCTATCTGTCTGTCTATCCTGATTTTAGAAAGCTTACTGTACACGAGGGGGTAAGTATCCCTGTCACCCAGAAAACAATAACTGTTCAGGATGTGCTGTCATTCTGAGAGGTCGTCTGCTTTGAGACAAATTTACGTCTGTCTTGTTAAAAAGAAATTAAAAAAGATCTATGCAGTATTCAATAAATGACCTTGTATTTCATACTAATGAATACTCTAATGACCTCAGTCCCTTTGATCAGAATTTTTCTGTCAAGCAGATTTGATGGACTTCACTGTTTAAAATCAGTGGTGCATATCTCATAAAACTTATAAAATAAAGCTCACAAAGAACATGTGGTTCATATTGATTCATGTCATCTCATCTTAAGTGGTTATAGTAAAACACCACATTTCTGACTTTCCACTTCAATAAAACACTATGACATGAGAATAACACTAAGATTAGTCACACTTCAAGCTCCCTTTTGAAACACTTCTCCATTTCATCGTGTAAGACCTTTTTCCATTAAACACTGGTGTCCCTGAAAGTAACTTTACAAAGGAACTGGTGCAACACCAGTCTTCCAACACTTTTTTGTTCTCTGGTTTGCCATTGCAAATAGTTTGCTGCTCATATAAAAGATTAAATAACACTATTGGCACACTGTGTAATTGAAATGAATAAACAGGATCTTTTTTTTAAAAAAAAAAAAAAAGCTTTCCTGAGCAATCTAGTAAACTTCATTAGAAGGTGAACATAATTATTGATATCCTGAACAAATTAGGAAAGTAGGAAAAAATGGCAGGTCTTTTGAATTATTTCTGTGTGGAGTCAAACCAGTACATATAACAGGTGTAGGGTATCAGGTCTAACTGTAGGATATTCCTACACTGAAAAAGGTGTACATGAGCTAAACCTCAAATCTCTGCAAATTGGGGAGCAGGAAGGATATTAAGTATTTTAAATGTATTTTTCTTACATGATTACGAAGTTCTTCATTAATAAAGCTGAAGCTCACATATTCATATGCTTAAAATGGCATCAAGTTTTTGTACGCTTAGAGTTAACAAAAAGAGTAAATAATTTCGCTTCAAAGGCATTTAGAAGTGATCCGTTATTTACACTGCAGAGTTATTTGGGGTTTATTTTAACGATGGATTGTGTTTTATTTGCTTCTAGGTAAAACTCGAAGGACCTGTCTTCTGCCCTCAAAATCAGCAAGTGAGCATAGTTTTAAGGACTTCAGCAGAAACCAGCTATCAAATTATCCTACGCTTCCACTGACCAAGTCAATAGAAACTCTACAGCAAGGGGAAAAAGAAAGCCATTTGAGTTGTGCGCATCGTGCTCTGAAGTGCTCTGTCAAACCTCCAGCTGTTACGGGTCTGAAGAACCGTAGAAGTTTACCAGTTGCTGTCTGTCGGAGCTACGAAACTCTGGATGGCCCCCAAGGGGTAGACCCATGGCCAAGATCCCACTCGCTGGATGATCTCCAGGGAGAATCCAATACAAACCTACAGGACACTAGCAAGAAAGTAGGTTCTTTTCCTCAGGATTCGCTGGATATAGCAAAAAAGGCAACTGGCTCTGCCCTGCTGCTTCGGTCTCATGGAGGCAGCTGTATGGTAGATGACTTGATGCCTAAGCAGGGTAAAGGAGCTGCTAGTTCTCAGAAGGGAAGAGCTAAGGAATTGGACTGCTCTGTAATGGAGACTGCAGGTGGAAAGCCTGCTCCATTCCCCTTGAAAAACTGTGAAGCTCAGCCTGCCTTAGTGACGCATCTTGCAACAAGGATGCCTCTGGAAATAAAAAGTAAAGGCTTTCATGACCTTGCGCGAGCTGATTATGCTCCAGTCCTCAAGGGAGGTCTAGAGGCTGAGCAAAAAGGCACAAATGAGGGGAGAATGCAACCAAAAAATCCTGCTCAGCCGCCACCTGTCCCTGCCAAAAAATGCCGAGAACGCCTTTCTAATGGATTATATCATCCTCCCATGACCGCAAGTGGGAACCACTCAAGTCTAGAAGCACCGTGTTTGCCAGTAAAAAAGACCAGCTCATCCACTCCCATTGATTGTCATGGAGTACCTGTCCATCGGATATCTTCTGAACAGGAGCCCAGTACCCCTCCTAGCCCACTGCCACCCTGGCTGTCGGAGCTCCCAGAGACTGCTAGTGTTCAGCAGCACGTGATAAAGCTGGGTCCTGCTTCAGCAAGGAAAGTCTCTTGTAGCAGGGGAATGGATCTGGAAATGGTAATAGAAAACAAGTTGCAGTCTGAAGACATTGATCTTACTGAAGAACCATACTCTGACAAGGTAAGTGGAGAGGACATTGCTTCAAAGGTTTTATTCCACTAGCATCCCAAGCAAGGAATAGTCTTTCATTTATCGTATATGTTGTGGTTTTGTCAGTGACCAGCCTAGATAAACCATAAATCATTGGGACATTAGACATTCTATAACTGTTGTTACTATCTGGCCTTATGGCTAAAGTAACTCTTGTGTTGTGGGGGGCAGGGACTGAGAAATCCGAGGCCTATTCTGAACCTTCATCTTTTCAGACCACTAGTACCTTGATGGCACTGGGCATGGAAATGTCTCTTTCTCTGCTGGTGTGGGGAATTAGAGCTGAAAAAGGAAGTCATGATTAGATTTTACGCTTCCAAGAAAATCTGAATTGATAGCATAGTGATTGGGATAGCTTTTGGGGAAAGGAGTCTTAAGGTCCAGTTCTTCATGTAGGGATTGCTTTTTTGGTTTTCATGGAATCTCAAGGAAAGCTCCTTCTTGTTCCTATCCTGCATTTCTCTTTTATGTTTGCATTGGTTGGTCTGTATCGATACGCTTCTTTCATCTATCCTCTTGCCTTTTTGTCTGGCTGGGAACA